AAAGAAAGAAAGAAAGAAAGAAAGAAAGAAGAAAGAAAGAAAGAAAGAAAGAAAGAAAGAAAGAAAGAAAGAAAGAAAGAAAGAAAGAAAGAGGTTACTGAATGGTTTTAATGTATGGAAATAGCCTTTAGTTTTAAAAGCTGCTCACTGTCAGGAAGCATGAAAACTCAGGAGATTAGTAAATAGTTCTTCCCATAAAAAACACAGATAAAGCTGGCCTGTATTATAATAGCTGTGATACAACATGCCTGATACTGTTGCTTTATGAACTTGGAAAATTGGAAGCTTAATAAAACTGACCAAAAAGCAGATTGAAGAGAAAGGTGATAGAGTCACGAACATAACTGGCCTTGAGGACACAGGCATCATATTAGCTGCATATTTAATATATGCCCACATCTTCAGAGGAAAGGTAATAGTTTCTACCTCTGAGTATTTCGATTATGACATGTATATGTTGTACAAAACATCTTAAAGCATCCGCTACCATGCTTCATAGAAAGTACTAAAAAATTGACTATCACTTTCCTTAAACTTTAAAAAGATGCACACAACCATCTTATAGTTAATGCAATTACTTAGTCACTGTAAAGTAACTGTTGGGAATAGAATATGAGACACTAGATGTGTCTCATAGGACAGGGAGACAAAACAGTTGTGGTCACTTTCTGTAGTGGAGCCTGCTATGTGGTTAGAGAGCAAGGTATTTACTAAAGCACCACACACACACATACACACACACACACACACACACACACACACAAATATAGCACTGTGAACTGTGGTGGGTACAGCTGCATTAGAGTGAATGGCAGGAAAGAAGAACAGGGAGGTGGTTCCCACTGTGGCATGGAGGGAGTGTCATTCAGGTGGAAAGCCCAAGGAGGCACCAAGCAATCAAGGACCACTTTGGACAGTCAGTGACGTTGCTGGGGAATGTTCCAGATTGAGAAAACAGTGTGGTTTCCCAGTGAACCTGTGAACATGAGTTGGTGGACTGAGTAAAGAAGTCCCACATGCCCCGGTGGGTTGGGCATCATGCCATCACTCAAGGGTCACAACAGAACAACAACAGAAGGGAAGCAAAGGTGCATTCACTCTCTCTATATGAGGAATGATGAATGTACCCATTGCCTCCTGCCTTTGAATGTCGATGCGCCTGAATTGTAGCTTCAGATTTTTTTTTTTTTTTTTTTTTTTTTTTTTTTTAGAACTGGCAATAGAACTCAAGACCTTGCACTTGCCAGGCAAGTGTTTATTCTATTGAGCTATCTCCCCAGCCCCTCAGACTCATTCTTGAGCTTCAGGAATGAGGCTGGGATCCTCACCAACTGGCCCTGTATCCAACCAGAGGCCTTCAGACATGGACTGGATTACACCAAGAGCTTTTCTTAGTCTTGAGTTTACTGAAGACTGATTATGGGACATCTCTGCCTCTGTAATTAATCTCACCATAAATCTTTCTGTGCATCTATATGTGACCTTGGTGTTCCATTTCTTTGAAGAAACCAGGCTTATATAGAGACCCAAATGGTTCCCATCTGACCATACCTTTGTTTCAGCAACTGGCTTCCATAACTGTGGAGGAGGAGCACAAAGGACTGTAAAATCCAACCCTTTGTGTGAATGTTTTAGCACAGATGTGTCACTGCCACAAACCAGTTACACAAGCCCTGACCTGACTGAAACAGTAAAAAGAGAAATTAATGTCCTTCCCTAGTTCCCAAAGAAGAGATCTGAGCACAGGTAATGTGACAAGAAGCGACACCAAACTCTCATTTTGTTCACAAAGCCAAGGGTTTGTTTTCCTTTCTACAGAATGCCCCCTGGAGCCCACACCTCACCTGTGCCTATTAGCAAGGCTCATGGGAAGATCTGAGATCCGTTCCAGATGGAAGATAGACAGTATTTCCTACAACTCTGTCTATGGGAGGAGAGAGAGGTATAAAAGAAAAGATGTAAACAAGACAGATTCATGATTAATCTTCCAATATGTCTCAGAAATGCTTTCTAAAAATGCTGGGTTCAGAGTACCTCAGAAAATCCCTCTTAATCCTGATATGGTTTCTTTCCCTGCCCCTTCCTCTCCCCTTCCTTTGGTCTGAACACTCACCTTGGGTGCTGTCTGACTGTATGATCATGCTCTCGAAGGATTTTTTCATTTCTGATTGGCCATGTGTTTTAGTCAGGCAGCATCATTAATGAAGTGAATTACGGAGCTAGCAATGCCTTGAACTATGATGGCTTTGCAATAGTGAGCTGTGCAACCCTGACAGCCGGCTACCAATGGGAACCTTTTCTTAAATCAGAGAGTGTCTTTCTTAATAAAAACTCAGAATCAGTTTTTCCAACTAAAAAAATCACAGAAGGTAAATGGAAACCAGATGAGTATATCTGGGGTAAAAATGGAGGTGACAGAATGAAGGAGAGAAAATGGGGTCCTCAGAAGCTCAGATTTAGGAAAAAGGAAAGTCAGCCTCAAATCTGGGCCCTATGCTGAGCTTCACCTTGCCCCTTAAGGTTTCCCTTAATTCCTCTCAGTTAAATAGGATGTGTGGAAAACACCTGGCACAGAAATCAATCAATAAATGTTGTATTCTTACCCTACATGATCATTGTATTCTTTTCCCAGTCAGTCATTGTCATTACTGCTGGGACTAGAAATCTCTCACAAGAAGGGAAGTCACTCAAAAATGAAAGCAACAGGGAAGCTCTTTTAGTCCTTTTAGAGCCTTGCTCTCTCTGCCTTTCCTGTCCCCTTTCATTCAAAACCTTCAGAGTTTTCTTCCTTTTCATCTAAAATTATTCCAACTTGCTCCAGAAATAGTAAAAAAAAAAAAAAAAAAAAGAAGCCTTCTCAGTTCTGAGTTGACAGAAAACCCACGAACAGATCCTGTTTGTGAGGTTGGTCCCCACTGCAGAGATGTGAGCATGAGCCCACTTTAACCTACTGTTTGGGGACATGTCTCAGACAAGTCATACGATAGAGAGAAACTGATCGAAATGACAGTAAGACATCTAAAGAATTAGAATCAAAAACAACACAAGGACAGGCAGATTTGTAGCCCTAGGAAAGGTAGCTGGGGGTCAGCTTAGGATGGCCCATCCAAAAGGCTGGATGTCAGGGACAGCACGAAGGAGTCTAAACAGTCACAGAGGTGAAGCGTGTCAGGGCAGATAGCTTCAGAGCTCAGTTTCAAGGATAAATCAAGATAGGACTGGAGAGAAACCCACCTAAAACTCACTCATATTGGTGGCCTGAGGAGTGAGGTGTAGAAAAGGAAATAAAACAGGACTCAAGCAGGCTGCTAGGCAGAGCCTAAGTAACCAAAAACCTGGACTCAGACTCTGGGAATTCTTCCCACAATTAGCTGATCCATGTGTATACAAACTGTCATGAAAGGAACAGTGCTTCTCCTCCTGGAGATCTGCTAAACCTGCAGACTGTTAACGCTGGAAGCATCTAGGCAGCCAGATGAGCTAGCTTTAACTGCTCTGCCAGCGCTTCTACAGCTGCTCCACAGCACGATGACAATCTTGGCCCACATGTCGCCATGCAAGCTTGCTTGTTTCCCCTTGTGGTATTTGCCACACCTGGCCAGCACCCCCTCAACTCCCTGCTCCACTGACATTCTCTCACATCTACCTTGCAAATATGCAGTAATGAACAGATACAGCTCCTGGCATAAGATATGCCTAAACTGACCCTGGTCTGGTAGAACAAAAAAAAAAAAATCCTGCAGGCCCTTGGGAAGGCTGCTGCCTTGAGAATCCATGGGGCCCAATTTGCTGTGCCTTTTATATTCCTTGACAGTTCTATTACCAGTCCCAGGGCCCTCAATGACTACTCCAGGCATTGGCAGTTATCCTGGTGTCTTTGCCATTCTCTGCCCTCCTAACAGCTCATTTAATCATGCTTCCTATTTCACAGAAACACAGCACTGTGGGGCCTGAATCAATCCATAGCTGTCACTCATCTTGACCTTCCATCTGAGGAAGAACGGTCTCCTCTCTTTCAGAAGGCTAATTCAGGGCTGGCCAAATAGCTCAATGGACTAAAGCACCTGCTTAGACAGAGTGCAGTGGCTGGGGTTCGATCCCTGGCCTGCTGTGCCGGCCCCACCCCCATGGCACACTGAGATGGTGATTCACACTGGGCATGGTGGCACACGACTGTAATCCTAGCACTTGGGAGGCAGGCTGAAAACAGGAGGATCCCTACAAGTCACACCTATGTAGTGAGACCCTGCAGACTCAGTCCTAAATACATTTAAAAAAAATAAAGAAAGAAAGGATAATCCACACGCCATTTGACCCTTCCTTCGTATCTCTTTTAACTGAATACTTATTGTCTCCCTACCACTGTAGCCTTCCCATGCTCAAGTCTCTCCCTTTGCAAAATAAAAATCAAAAATAACTCACTTTGCTATTCTCCTTGATCTATTGTCTTATCCTTTACTCAAATTGTGACCTGCCTCTTTTTGTCTCTGTCACCACTG